ATGATATAGAATAAGAATAATAAAACTTCACACTAGAGGTACTACACAAGCATATGTATCGTTTCAAGTAATTTATGATTTTTCTTAAAAAAACCCAGTATCGATCCCACGAGGATAGTTGAACTATTTAAATTGGCTTACTAAACTCAAAAGAAAATTCTATTTAAATTGCAGATTTAAATGAAAATGAAATGATAATAATGATTAAGACTAAATTAAAGCATATGGAAACAACTATATTTAAGAGTTTAATAAAAGTAATTATGACGAGTTTGAGTAATATGTAAAGATATTTCCCCTTGCAATGACATAATAATCTATGTAGAATTTGAATGACTGAAAATATAATGATGTATTGTGATAAATAAAAGCATTTATATTCTTTACCCTTTCTCGGTGCTAGCAAAGAACATTGGCTAATTTAGAGTTTTTCATCAGCTTGTGTATTAGTGCTGAGTAGATTCTAGCCTCTCAGCTCCAAATTAAACATCATGCCCTCTTTATAGGATCCACTTGGGACCCTTACGATCCAAACTCTAAACCTAATTTAAAAAAGAATCTAGTCTGTCAAACTAGAAACATCAATTCTACGCTCATCAAAACTTTTCTCCCTATCTATTTGCACTCCTCCTTAGGTGATCGCAATGACTCTATCCAGAATGAAGTGTGATACTTACTAATTTGGAAAAGTCATAGTTCTCCAGGGTCTTTATGTTTCTCATCAAATTTTAACCTTACAAATGTCCATTTTGTAAAGTCAATGAAGAATCGGTGAAAATGTAATCATAATTTTTAAAAGTAAAAAGAAATTTTTAAATCATTCTCATCCCACAAGATCATTCTCATCCCACAAGATTACCACAAGATTAATTCCCAAGAGCAATGAGAAAGAAAGGGAACTACTCATAATTCATGGAGAATAAAAAAAACATCCAAATTTGTATTGATAAAGTACCTTATGTCTTCTCTCCAACACAAATTCTGGAGTCTCCTCGAAGAAATCTTCAAACCTTACACTTATAACATAAAACACACTAAAACATACACTTAAACACTAAAGTGGGACTTCAAATGCTGCAAAAAAGTCCTCTATTTCATCAAGTTTTTGTCCATATTAATAGATCTTTGAAAATAATCAAGGTTCGAACACCCATTCAAAATTCGACCAAATTCAATGGATCTTCTATAAGGGAAGTTACTTGGCTATTGCGCCAGTCTGGGCGCTATAGCACCAGGTGGCGCCGCTATGACAACATACAATATGCACCATTTTTTTTCATTTTTCCCTCATTTTCTTCAAATATCCATTCCATGTACCTAAACCCATAAACATACAAAAATAACTTCCTTTAAAGTGCAATATCACTAAAAATATACATAAGAAGATCATAAAATATGCACTGAAAACAAATAAATTTAAGGTGGTTCAATCTTCATAACTGGTTAGTCGTGGAGTGGGGTGAACATATTTTGAAGAATTAATGAACTCATTTTATGACCTTTTCTTTCTAGAGATGCTTTCACAAAGTACTCCTTATCAATGTGGTCTAAAAATTGAAAGGCTTGAGACTTGCCTTGGTTTCCTCTAGGGACTCTCTTTGACATGCAAGACCAAGTCACCTAGGGTTGAACTAAGGCCTGAAAGTCCTATAGGGACTCTCTTTGGGCTTCCTCATGTTGGTTTCATCCTTCGAAGTGCTAGAGGTTAAAACCATACATGTGAAACCCTAGAGCGGGAGTAAAGAAGTGCTTAGAATTTTTAAGAGGGTGGGTTCCATCACTAATCCTCTAGGATAGTCAACAGGAAAGTCTTATGACTAGACTATAAGCTTCTAAGAGAAGAAAACTAGACCTTATCAAAATTGAGGTCAACACTTATATGTAAGGACGAGGAAGAATATATGTAAGCAAGAGGAAGAATCTACTAACCATTTATTTTTCCTTGTAGGTACTCTAATATTATTTGGGGAAACCTTCGTACGTTTTTTTTCTCTCCAAATTCTTGTTAATTATTTTGGTGTTCCTAACTTGAATCTATGTAAGCAGTTTTGAATAGTTCTTTATCCCCAGAACCACATTACAGAATTGATTCTTTATATTGGAATGCGGTTTATTTAGATGACTAGAAATTTTGTTAAACATGATGTGGTGGCTATTTGCATTAAGAAGTGGTATCCAATGCCATGAAATTTCTTCATAAGATTATCAAATTTGTGAAACACACGACTTCATTTTTGGGCTTTATACAATCTTTTAACTTCTCAAAACTTCTCAAAGATCCACTACTAGGAGATTCCCCAAACTAGTTTATTAAATAGCCCCAGCTCATGCTTGAATTAAATTCAACACACACACACACACAGATATATATATATGTAGACATATGACAAAGTTGCATCACAGGCATACATATTTGGTATTCACGTGTTCCATTCATTTGTTAACGCCGAGTAGAGTGGGCACACATGCCTTATTGTATTATAAGAAAGTTCATTTCTATTCAATTGTCTGATATGTTGGAGATGGAGTCTGGTTCTGACGAGTTGATGGTAGGGGCATGCCAGACTTGGATTAGGTAAACATTCATTGTATTCATATTGCATTATGAAATAATCAACACGACCTTGGTATCCAAGGAGATACCAAGAAGGCAATGATAAATGTCATATTGAGTATCTTTGCTTATGTAGAACTTAAACTTTTCTATTTTTTATGTGTGTGTGTGTGTGTGTGTGTGTCTATATAATCAAGTCTTAATTTAAATAATTTCTTCATAATTTTATTACTAATTATTTTAAATATTCTATCTATTTAAAAGTCAAAATAAATATTTTATTTTATAAATTAAGAATTATTTAATGATTATTAATTCATAGCATGAATCGCTCAATTTTTTTTTGATATTCAATATGATAAATAAATCTATATTTTAATTTTTAAAATCTTGTTTTGTAATAGTAAAGAAAACAACAACTTTAGTTATATCATATTTTTCCATATTTTAAATATCCAACTTAAAAAAAATTATTCACAACAAAATTCATTGCAAAATTGTTTTTTTTTTATTCATGAAAATTTGTTTAATATTCCATAAGAGGAATTATTTAAACAAAAAATATTTATAAAATCAGGCTGAGCTATCACAATTTTACAACTATATAATTTTAGTATCATTTTTTTTTTTGAGAAATTATTAATGACAATGCTTTTTCAAAATTTTGCCTTATTCTGATAAAAATAATTAATTATTAAGAAAAATGTTAGGGCTCATTTGGGATCACTTTTATTTTTTCTATTTATATTTTTTCATTTTATTTTATTTATTTATTTATTCAAAATAAAATATATTTGGTGTGTTTAATTAAAATATAATTGTTTTTAAAAATACTCCTTATTTAGTGTTCTAAAATATATATATATATATATATATATATATTCTTAGAAATAAAAAATTAAAATATGTTTAAAATACAAAAAAAAATATATTTTTTAAAAAATAAAGATAAAATAATATAAATAATAATAATAAAAAAAGTCATCCTAAATAAGTACTTAATTTTTTCTTTGTTCTCTTTCTTTTAAGATCCATTTTCTGAATTAAGAATCAGAGAAGCTTCTGAGCTAGGAACAACCTTGTTCAAGCGGTGTTGGGATTTTAACAGTTTACTACAACCTTAACAGAAGTTTTGCAAATGGAGTAATTGGCAAATTCGAAAGGGACCTCATTAACTTTGCTGGTCATTCAGCTTCTTCTTGTTCAATGTCACCAATACTTAAAATATGCTCGGCAAAGCAAATTTTGGACAAAATTAAGAGCATGTAGCATCCATTTGATGTCACATATTCTCCTTTCGTTTTCCTCTTATATTCCTTCCTTTTGTTATTTGTTGGACCATCATATTCTCACGAATTTAATGGCGTCAGGAGGGAAAAATCATTATGTCGGGTGAACCACACGTTCAGACATAGGCGATACTCTGATCATGTCACCTTATATTTCGAATAGCATGACGTAATCACATTTTTTAAGTTATGAGCAATCTCCGTCCCTAAAAATTGTAATTGAAGATCACAGTATATAATTGTAATTGTGTAAGAACTTACCGTAAAATTATTATTTTTTACATATTTACATATCACTCAATTCCTATGTTCATAAATGACATATTGATTTAAATTCACATTCTTAAAAGCTTATTAAAAATATAGTATTAGACACATAAGTAATATTATATTGTAACATAAAATTCTAATAATTATTGTATTATACATGTCCCATCCAAACCCCAAAATGCTTTGTTTGTAGTATGTAGCTTTTAACAGCATTGAATGCAGCATTTAACACATTCTATTAAAAATTACAAAATAATATGTGTACTGAAAAGCACATGACAATATACACCATAACATGCATATTATTAAAAAAACGTGAAATAATAATAATTTAATATACTTCTCACGATAGGAAAAATAATAAAATATTTCTTGCGCATGAATGAAGGTATGCATGCAGATGCATGTCTATGAAACAAATATATAAAATATACATAACTAATTAATGTATATGTATATCAACGACATGGGACTCTGAAACAAGTAGCCTTCAGTATTAATTATTAGTTGTTAGGTATGACTATAAGATGGTGCGGGGACAATGCTCCCATGGTATAGTATATGGGTAATTTTGTAATTATATATTGTACGTCAGGACTATATATACATGATGTATTGTAACTTTAAGGGTATCTTGTACTCCTTTTTCTGAATTGAAGGAAAAGACGTTGACAATTTTGCCGAACCTCGTTAAATCTTTGTGTTTTCTTCTGGATTTGTGTCGATTTTTTGCTTCTCTTTGCCCTAAAATTCTCAACATTAGTGCACCTTTCTTTTTCCATCCATTAACTGCCTCACCATACAAGTAGAATCTAGATTTATACTTCCACTTCCCCATTCTATAAAAATCCAACATAGCTTCTTAGAATTCAAGCTAAGTGGCAGAAGATACAGAAAATATAGAAGAATCAAAGATGAGTGGTGCTGTTTCAAATGCTAAAGGCAAGGTGAATGGGCAGCGCAACAAGGCTAAAGATGATCATAAATGTTGCTTTCAGATGCCTCTTCATTACCCAAGGTACACGAAGGCCGAGTACGAGGACATGCCGGAGTGGAAGCTCGACCGGCTTTTCGAAGAGTACGGCTTGCCGGCGATCGCCAGAGATCTCGATGGTAAGAGAAAGTTTGCCGTCGGTGCATTCATTTGGCTTCATCAGTAGGGCTATTTTAAGTGGGATGCGAAATGTTGGTGTATTAAATAATGGAAGTGTAATGAATTCAAAATATGTTGCTTGTTCTTACCATGATGTTTTGCCCTTTGGAATGTTATAGATGTTTAGTGAGATGAGAAGCTAAGTATGTTTTGATGGTAGATGTTAAAATATGTGTGTTTATTTATCTATTTTATGGAAGCTTGTAAACTTTCTAACTAATAATCTTAAAATATTAAATGTATTTAATTTAATTTTTTTATTTTAGGTACATATATATTATCTTAGTCAAGCTTAGATGCATAGGTAATTATGAAGTCAATATAGAGAATTAATATTATAATGGCACATTTTTTTTGAAATAATTTAAATATTAATTGGTGTGCCTTAAAGTTAATTATTGCAAAAAATTAAAATTACATTTTTTGTCTTAAATTTAATTTTATGAGGCAATAATGGCATGCATGTTATTTTAAGAGTAAGTTAGATCTTAATTGGTGTACCATCAATTATGAAAGAATACATCTTTTGTGCTGAATTTAGTTTAGTAGTACTATTTTTTTTATGAGCTCTAGCTATTATTTGATTGACTAAGGTTCTATTTTAGACAACTTCCTCACTTTATTTTTTTTCATATTGCCATAATAATTTTGTTTGTTACAGCTTTCTCTTTTTGCTTTTTAGAAATTTATGTGATGGGAACTTTATCTTATAATTAAATCTGCTAAAATATACTATCAGAAAGAAAATGTCGTTTGAATGTATATATATAGTATATTTTCTTTCTTATAGTATATTTTAGCAGATCTAATTATAAGATGAAATCGGGTTTGTCCTTGAATCACACCTAATGAATAGAGTATCTAGAAGGATAGCGAATTGGATGGGGAGAGAGAGAGAGAGAGAGAGAGAGAGAGTTGAGTTAAGGAAGGACAAAAATGATCGGGATAAGGGAGATATGAGGGGATTTTTCTAGCTCAAGGGAGTGAAAAATCATAATCAGGTCGAATCAACTCGGATAAGAGATATTTTGTTGACATTTAATACCTCATATTTATGGTAGTTGTCTTTTATAAAATGACATAGTTAGGTTTATATCATTTCTAGACATTTACATTTATGCAATTGTAGATAATATCACCGCTGAAATTTGGGTATTGGATGGATCTTTTTATGGTTGACTTCTCTGATAAACAGAAGGTTTTCTGTCTCTGGTGCTACTCGTGCTTAGCCTCACATTTTCTTCCTTTTGTAGTCAGCCTATGAGCATTCGACCCATGAGCTTCGTAGTTGTCTTAAGCTTGACTTTCTAACAATTTGGATCGACCTCTTTGTTGGTCCCCTTTGGACTAACTTTTCTAGTTGGCTTGTACTCATGATTGTTACCCACGTCTAGCTTTATTCGATACTTTGCTTGTCCGAGTAATTACTTATGGTTATACATATTTAAATTTCTGATTTTTTTTGTATCTTTGAATGCTTTGTTGTGGCAAGAATGAGGGCAAATCCAGAAATTAAGTTTGATTTCTAATTAATGCTCATAATGTGAATATTTTCTTGAATTTTACTCCTAAGTTTTTATAAATTGAACGATGAGCTCATGACTTAGTTTCCTTGAACACCTTCTTGTTTCTCCTTTGATTAGTAGCTCCCATTTTTCATAATTTGCTATGGAGGCTCTGAGCTAGTCGGTCAAGCCCCATCCCTGATAAGGATCTTCTCTATGGCATGTTTAACAAATAGAAATGGAAAGGGGGGTTGTCATTAGTGTTACATATATATTATTTTAGTTGAATTAAATGCATAGTTAATTATAAAGTAAATATAGAAATTTTTTTATCATAATGGAACGTTTTTAAAAAATTAATTTAAATATCATTGGCGTACGTTAAAGTCTATTATTGCAAAAAATAAAAATGACATCTTTTGTCATAACTAGGGCTGTCAAAATGGCTCGTTGTTCACGAACAGCTCGTGTTCGGCTCGTTAAGAAGCTTGTGTTTGGCTCGTTAATTTCGTTCGATAAGTTAACGAGCCGAACACGAACTAAGATGTGTTCGTTCGTGTTCGGCTCGTTTCGGCTCGAAATACTACTCATCAAGGCTATAAAGATTTTAAAAAAATCTAATTGACTACAAGGCTACAAAGATTTATAATCAATTGAAATATTGATTAAGAAAATAGAATAAAAATTATTAAATTTGATTCAAATGATGTTTTAATATAACAATAATTTTTAAATCTTCCTCTCAACCCTTAAAATCTCATGGCTACCTGATTAGGGTTGTCAAAACTGTTCGGGGACCGCCCGTGGGCGGGCCCTTTAAGCAAAGGAAGCGAACCGGAACACACTTTTTGAGCTCGAAATATAAACGAGCCGAACACGATCGTTTTACACTCCTAGTCATAACTTTAGTTTTGTAAAATTACTTTTTAATGAACTCTAGTTAATATTTGATTGACTAAGGCTCTATTTGAGACTGTTTCCTTACTGCATTGTTTCTCATGTTGCCATCATAATTGTGTTTGTGACAACTTTCTTTTTTTACATTTTAGAAAATTATGTGATGGGAAATTTATCTCACAACTAGATCTATTATTAAAATATTTCCAAAACATTGTTTTCTTCACAATTACTTTACAGTCTTTTGAAGCTAGATTTGTCCCAGAAAAAGAGCGAATGGGGGAGGGGGTATAGAGAGAAGGAGAGGGAGAGAGGGAGGGAGAGGGAGAGAGAGGTTGGGAGCTGTTGTGCAGCCGAGTTCAGATAAGATAAAAATGATCAGGATAAGGGAGATCGAAGGAGAATTTTCTTAGCTCCAGTGAGCCAAAAATCATAATCAGGTGGAACAAACTCAGATTATATAGATTTTTGTTTACATAATACCCCACATTTATAGCATTTGACTTTCATAAAATGACATATTTTGGTTTATATCATTTCTAGACATTTACATTTATGAGATTTTAGGTATTATGTCAAAGTTTTGAGAAAATTAGACTGATACTGAATAGGCTCGATTCTCTTTTACCTTTGTTTTCATTCCATTAAATAACAATCTTACAATCTATTTTAGGTACAAAATAAAGTGCATAATCTATTTTAGGTAACTTAATAATATATATTCCCAATTTAAATAGGGAAATAAATCAGAATAAAGATATTGGAAATAAGGAAACTTCTAATTAACTATCTGATTTCCGTCCTTCCTGACCCCCCCCCCCCCCCCCCTCCAAATTGATGCTGACTAATCAGGAAGCATCAATTTGCTAGATAAAATTGTCGGGACAAAAAAACCTCAAGCCGTGAGTGCTGAAGCCTGAAAATGCGAAAACCAAAGAGTGCTGAAGCTAAAATTTTGTCGAAGCCTAAAAGTGTCGAAGTCCGAGAGGCTGAAGTCTAAAAGTCCCGAAGCCTAAAAGGGTCGAAGCCCAAGAGTGCCGAAGCCCGAGAGGCCGAAGGCTGAGATTGCCGAAGCCCTAGAGGGCCGAAGCCCAAGTGGGTCGAAGCCCAAGAGTGCTGAAGCCAAAGTTTTGTCGAAGCCTAAGAGGTCTATGGTTTGTTGAAGCCAAAGATATCGATCTAAGAATTAGTGTCGAAGCCGAAGCCAAGGAGAACGAAGCGAAGCGTAAGAAGCAGTCGAAGATGTCACAGAAGCAACAATTCTTAGTGAAGAAGAATTGAATCAGACGAATAATAATACAAACATAAAAGCCCTTTTTCAACCCAAGAAACCTTGTATTCCAAAAGATGATACCCTAGAGTCCCTGCAGGTGGTGTGGAGCGGACAGAGGAATTGAATTCGCCGGCTTCGTTCTCATATCCATCACTTTTGAGAGACCAAAATCACCAAGACGTGCATTAAACCGTTCGTCTGGAAGCACATTCGCAGACTTCACATCGCCGTGGGTAATCGTCAGATGAGAACTTTGAAGCATGAGAATGGCTTTCGTCGGTTGGAGAGCGAGGCGAAATAAGTTGAACTCTGAATATGCTCAATGCCTCTAGCAAAGAAAGTCTGAAAGTCGCAATCGTTGACAAAGAAAACCATGAAAAGAAGGAATCATATGGCAAACGATAGCAATCCCGTAAAGGAGTCTGAGATCTGGATCAGGAGTTGATAGAGGTGCGTCAAGCCCTGCAGTCTCCATCCCGTGACCAAACATAGAGATTTCGTTCAGGTAGAACGTCATCAGTGCTCTGCAAGTCGTCGCTATCACTTAATGAAACAAGCAGATGGAGAAGAATGCAGATGATGGAGGCGATTACGCCGAGGATGTTGGCGCCATAGACGCTGTGCTGAAATTATAATTCTACGGTGGGTGAGCGGAGCCATAACCCTAACCCTGTCGGCGAGCCCAGACACGAGAGGGAGAGGACGTAGAAGGAGGATGACACAGCCCGGTAGAATGCGAATCAAAGAAGGAGAATTAGTTCCTCCCTTTCCGCAAGAAGGCCGGCGGGAAGGGAGTTTTGAGGCTCCTTCAACGATTATCCGTGGTTAAGACAAAACTTGGCTCTGATGCCATGTTAAAGTTTTGAGAAAAATAGACTGATACTGCATAGGCTCGATTCCCTTTTCCCTTTGCTTTCATTCCATTAAATAACAATCTTACAATCTATTTTAGGTACAAAATAAAGTGCATAATCTATTTTAGGTAACTTAATAATACATATTTCTAATCTAAATATTCAATTAAAAGGGAAATAAATTAGAATAAAGATATTGGAAATAAGGAAGCTTCTAATTATAGAAAACTCCTAATTTAGCTGCTTATTTTCCGTCCTTCTTGATTGACAATCACCACTAAAATTTGATTATAGGTGGGATATTCTTCTAATTGACTTGTCTCCACACTTAGAGACAAAACAATTTAATCTTAAAATTCAACTAGTCAACTCATATGGTTCCTTAATATGGGATAGGGGATGACATGTCTATAGAAAAGGCTGTGAGCTGCTGTGCAGCTAAGTTCAAACAAAATAACAATGATCAGGATCAGGGAGAGATCGGAGGGGAATTTTTTTAGCTCCAGTGAGTTAAAAACCATAATCAGGTCAAACCAACTCGGATTATATATATTTTCT